TGCTTTCATCTGGTTGATATCTTCCCAGATAGTATTCTGGTTATTTGATACAATGTTGTCAGGTCTCTCCTACTTGCAACAGCCTGTTCTGCTTCACTTGCCAGTGTTTCGTAGAAGTGTGTTTTGTCTTTCCAAACACTCTTCTTCACTTCTTTGTCCAGTGTAGTGTTTTATACATTGTGTTCAGTTCCCCTTGTCGTTGTGCATCCCTGCACTGCACTGGTTTATCTTCTGCTTCACCATCCTCCTCTCCCCCTCTATCAGCCTCCAGGTATCCGTCGAGATTCATTCCTCATGTTGTTTCTTTTCCTTCCTAATACGGTTGTGCAGGTTTCTTTCCACATCTCTTTCAAAGAGTTCCAGTGTCCATCCACACAGGTTTCTTCAGGGATGTTCCTCGATACCTCCCACTTTGTCTTGATGGCTGGCTGACGTGAAGATTTCCTGTATAGTTTCGTCCTTCAGTTTCTGTTCTGTGTGTTGTACTTGAACTGTGGTCTATCACCAGCTTCCTTGAAGGCTTTTAACTTGATTTGGGAGGTAGGTTCCTTGCACTAGATAGTGAGTGGTGTGAACCTACATCTGCCCCCCTTTCTTCACATTGAGATAGAGTCGATTTGATTTTTAGTGTATCCATCTGGCAAAATCCATTTGGGTTTGTGGATATCGTTGTGCTTGAACACACTGCCTGACTCCAATCACCAAATCGTTGAATGCACAGAATTCTGCAAACAATTCTCCATTCTCGTTCATCACCTCACCGAGAGGTTCTCGACCCAAGGTTAGTTCTCTTCCTGTGTTGTCTGCTCCCAGTTTGGCATTCATGTCACTCCACCCATTAGAATTTTGATATCGCCAACTGTGGTGGCGTCTTGTCCAGTGTTGATTGCAGTTGTTTGTAGAATTCCTCCTTCTTCTCTTGCTCTGCATTATTTGTAGTTGCGTGAGTAGCATTGTATGATTGTGACCTTCCTTCCTTTTGAGTTGAATCCATCTTGCTGCCATGATCCTTATGCCGAAGAAGATTGGTTCCCACTGCATGAGAGCCTTTGATGCTCTTGGGGACATCATGATAGTCACTCCAAAACTCAGTGTGCTGATGGTTGTCGTCTGGGTGATAATATCGGAGTAGATTATTCACTCCTCTCCAGTTGACAGTTTGGAGAGTCCACTCCCATTCCATCTGCTTTCGCAAATCCCAAGCACTTCGATGTGATACCTCTTCATCTCGTTTGCAATCTGGGCTGCCTTGCTGGGTTCAAACGTGGTGCGGACATTCCATGTCCACACGTTTACTTTCGCCTTCATCGAGGGAGAGAAGACACATCGGCCAATTGGCTTCCCGAAGGCAGGCTTTCACCAGGTGGCGTCATTTCGCCTCTCCGATTCCAGGGAGGAATAATTTTGTTATTATTTTTCGTACATCGTTTGTGCTTTGAAGTTTGTTTAGCTGTTAGATTTGTCTTCCGGGGTAGGGTTGCTAGCCCTATGCCCAACCTTCCCTCTTTACCCGGGCTTAGGACCGGCTGGTAGCTAGCGAACTAGTTAACCAAGCGAGGACCTTGTAGCTCAGTAGGCAGAGCACCGGCCACTAAACCTGGTGGTCGACGGTTCGAAACCCATAGTGGCTAAAATCTTGGTCCACCGGGGTGAAGACGTACGTGTGGCTTCGCCACAGGATGAGACTGTATACCGTCCTGGTTTTAAAAAGCCTAGATGTGTATTCCGTTCTCTCCTGGAAAACCAATGTATAAATATCCGTTCAAATGACGGGTATGTATCATTTAAAATAAATAGACGAATAAAATTAACTAATTAGCCTGCTGCGGCGTCTGTGGGTGTATTTAGTTTTGTAAATTTCATCTTGGCATGTGCGTATCCGCCTGTTTTACTTTCGCCACATCCACGTCCACCCTGTGCTGACCAACAACCACATGCCCAAAGTTCATCATTCAACCACCTGTCAACAGGCTAGTTCCAGTGTGAGTTTCCGTATCCGAACACGTGGTGTTGTTGCAGGCGGTCATTGCAGGCGTGAACTCAATCTCGACAATGCAAGTTATCATTCGTAAACCCTTGGAGTATTTGTGCTGGTTCCCGAAGAACAAAAGATACCCGCAAAAACTAAGGCAGTTTTGAGGAGTAGCAATAGCTGCTTTCTGTATATCTTCTGTTTTAGTATGTATCCGGCTGCGCGCTTTGACCGGCTAAATCCTAGAAAATATGTTCATGCAAGACAAAGTTGCATTTGTGTCGTAGGCGTGTCTTGTAGCAGCCCGGTGTTGTTGTGGCGTTGAGTCGTAGATGACCACCTGTTGAACATCAGTTGGTGATTTCCTTTTCTCTGACCACGTACGAGGGCGACGCCAATAGGCTATTTGGCGACAGAATTGGCAATTCACCATCCTCAAATCACTGACTTGTGTAATGCTGTTAGGGTGTCACTGGTAGTCCTACTTCCGTGATGAACTGCGTTGCTGATCATGCTTGGTGGAACATGTGTCAGTTGCCTTGATTGTGAATGTCTGTCTAACACCGTTTGGTAGGAGGAGTCGACTGAGTGCCTTCACTCAAACTAGATGAAGTTCCTACCCACGAAGGTGGTTCCATTAACTGATGTCTTCGTGTCGCTATATACCAGCCGACGTTAATGAGCATCCGTGAGTAGGTCACAATGGTTCTACAAAAACTACGATAATAAAGTACACTGAAGAATAAGGTGGAAAGTAATCCAAGCGAACACGTTCATGGAAACCTGAGTGCCGCATACGGCTTTCCAAAGTTCGCGGCCGGTTTTCTGTCGATCGATCGCAGAGTAAGAAAAAGATCATGACGGCATTTATTCGTGGCTGCAAAACTAACCCTTACTTCCAGGGCAGTATGGGTCGGATGGCGAACTTCTGTTCTCATTCCTGCGACGTATAACGAACAGCCATTTCGACCGGCTACGGTTGCTGCTAACGCGTGCTGGTCTCGCAACTTCTCCACTTCATTCAGTTTTGCTGAAAATACATCGTGCTCGGCATTTTTAGGATTCCCTGTCGGAGTCTGATCAGCTAACGCCCATTAAATTTAACTTTTCTTTGATATTTTCTACTCTAATCGCTTCTACCGTAGCATCACTTTGTGGTTCGCATGTGATTTATGTAATCAAAACCTAATTCATACCGGGTAGTTGGCCTTTTGCCTAAATACTTATCTACCACCCAATATTGGTTTTCCCTTTCACACCTAGGACCCACATAGTGCTTCAGCGCGGCTCAGTCACATTAAAAAAATATGTATACTTTTCACGGGGTATGGGTCAGAAATGTCCGGACCAAGCTGACATGCTATCCGCGTAGTTTTGATGAGGAACTTAATCATGGGGGAAGTCACATCATAGTCATGATCCATCCATTCTTGCTGAGGCGCATGGGTATAACTTCACTTCATTACGCCTTTCCCATCTCTTCACCCGTGGTGTTTGACCTCAAACGTTTAATTCAAAGTCTTCGTGCAGCCTGCTTGGTAACCATAATATTGTGAACGTCAACAGATGCTTCCTTATACTTTGCAATTATTCTTAAAGATGTATCTCGGCAAGCCACTCAGTATGCCTAACTTCTAGTTTACACTTGCAGGTCTGTATCTCATTTCGAATGTCTCCTTGATGAATTTCCTCAGTATGCTGATATTTATTAATGCCTACGCACCACAATCTTCCTCACAGACAATGTACAATTGGGTTGTCAGTAAGTAATTAGGGCTTTGGAGCTATGATCGCCTACACACCTATTAGATACTTTTTGCTTTTTACGTCGCAGGCGTTGCTCATGAATCCTTTCTGTAGGAGCCTAGTTTTATTCCATACACTATGCAGTATGGCTTCGGTCTGCCTTAAGTGGCAGGCTTACTGCCCCAAATCACTTTTTGTTTTGTAGTGTCGTAATACTAGTCCAAGTAATTTGGTTAACTTTATAGATAGTCTAATGTATTGCTTTTTGTGGCCGAATATGAAGTATGCGTTTCAAATCGGTAGGGTTAGGACGTAGAAAGCACCAAGAAATCTAAATCAAACCCGTTGTGTCGTAGGTATCTTTTTTATCACTTACTACCCTGTGAATTCCTATTCCCAGTGTGTCTAATGGCAGCTAAAACCCATAAGGCCTCCTTAATTTGTCCGGGTGCTTTTGTTTCCCCTCACAACAAACACATCCACCTTTCTGCTGTCTTACTGTGGAGCACTCAAAGCTTTTATGTACTACATCAGTACGAGTCATTTTGCACAGTGAGTCAGGCTGAATCACGGAACTCAGCGTGGCATCGGCCATTCATTACCTATTGATCTCTGAGTCACTCACCGCCCCAGTTTTGATGAATGAACAGAAAAGATCCTAAGAAAAGGTGTGTTATTCCTTTCCTCACAACATGGCTTGGGAGTTCGAGCTATAGACGCTGTCCTCCCAGAAGCCACAAAGCTCTACCTTGAACAGATAATACACCCCAGTGCAACTTCAGAATTTACTCAGACATTAAGTGATTAAAAGGATGAATTGTTTTTTCCGATGGAACAACGGCTATTCCTCACAATAAATGTGACGTTATTTATTCATTCTTCAGTCAGCTTGAAGCTAGCTGTATGACATATGATCTTAATTAGCTTATCAACTGCGAACCTGAATGAAGGAAGTAAGCCAAGTGAAGCCAAAGTGTGTTCTAGGAAGGGGTTTAGAATAATATCATTAAGTGTCATGATTGTGTTACATTCTGTGATAGTCTGAAGAATATTTTAAAATCTCTGACTCGCATTTCCAACAACAACTGATTTTTATGTTTATTAGCCAGTTTTTTCTGTAAGAGAATTCTAGTTCTTCTATAACTGGTTGGCATCTCATTTCTTTCATGAACATGGCACATGTTGCCTGGATGTTGTTTTGATGCATCACTTAGTCGTACTCTTTCTTCAGGAGCGCAATTTGAAAAATTGTCGCTCTGGTTTGGTTTTATTGCAAAGCGACATGTCCCTCCCAGGAATAGGTGAAATTACTTCAGACACATTATTCCTAACAAAAGTTATTGATGAGTATGTTGATGGTTCGCCATGGACTCAGGAGTATTCAAAAAACGATGTTAAAATCTGGTCGAGATGCTCAGAAAATAGTGGTGTCAAGGCTTTCAAGGCATCTGCACTTTTTAAAGGAGTTTCGGGATCCACATTATTTGACTGCCTTATGGATTCGGAGTACAGGAAGCAGTGGGACAAGTCTATGATTGAAGGTTATGAGCTTTGTCAAGTAAACAGTCAAAGTGATATTGGATATTATTCTCGTAAGCAGGCTTTTATTTCAATACATATTTCTCACTGTTAGTTCGCTGTCCTCCAGGTTTAAGAAACAGAGATTTTGTTCTTCAGAGGACATGGGCATCGTTCGATACAGAGTACGTTATAGCTTCTCATTCTGTATTTCACAAGGTAAGTTTTTAAGCTGAGTGTTTCATTTTATTGGAGTCTTGGTGTCTAAGGTAACTGATTCTCATGATTTTATCCCACCCAACGGCTATTTGGCATGTCTTGGGGGAGAATAAGTACTATGCATGTACAAACAACGTATATAGTACAACTTTGTAAATGTTCAGATTGCAACATTTTCCACCAACATATATTTCGAATGCGAACATTTAAATGTTTAGAAATCAGAATTAGTTGAAGGAGATTCTATGGAACAGAGGACATAAGGTTATACGGTTAGAACTGTCCCACTACAGATGTATTATACCACCTTTACGTCAATCCATTACTATGAATCAATCTAAGTACCCTACAGTCACTAAATTCGAATACCTCCATTACATATTTTCGTATATAAGTCACATCAATAAGCAAACTCTGTTAACTGGTGCTACGTTCTCATGGGTTCTCTTCGAAGCGTATCCTATGCTGCTGTTGCCAAGGCGAGGTGTAGATGGATATGTGTAACTTTTCAGTCAACTGCCCTCTATTTTTCAAAACGTTACTTGGTACAGTACAGCACTAAGGAATTCACAACAATAAGTGATAACATGATAGAGACATGAAAGGAAACATGCCGAACAGATAGACAAAACCAATGCAGAACCTTGCACACAAGTGCGTCAGTTCAAATTTCTACAGCAGTATGCAAAGAAATAATTAAAATACAGTGATACTGAAATTAAAAAAGGTGAATGACAAGAGAGGTGTTTTACAATTGAGGTTAGTCAGAGCGTTCAAACTTTATTGGGCGTCAATGAGTGAATACATCTGCGCCACTGACTGATTCCAGTCACTTCACCAAGAATCCTCAACCACTGATTCCTATCATTTGGCTGACCCCAACCAGGAAAACTACAGTTCTGTACACAGCTCAAACCAGCAGTCAAAAACTTCATAGATGGGTGTCACGTTTCGGTACAACTACTCTGAGTCCTTTTCCAATTTAATCCAAATTCTGCTAGCATGGCAGGTCGAGGTAACGGGTGGCTTGTTATACGCGACGTGTCCAAGCCACTTCACTGGATGAAGGCTGACAGTCTCAACTGAATTGCCTGTCTTGTCTAGGACTCTTCACCTAACTTGGACATTGTTCACACTATGATTCCACTAGACGTGAGCAATGCTGCGAAGACACGTAGTCACATATACTTTCAGCGGTTGTGTCATTCGTCTAATAGGACAGGTTTTGACGTTCATTGTATCTATATTTTGATTTGTAGTCGGACATCTTACCGACGCCAGAGGTGATGCATGTTGGCAGATGCCGAACAGACCTTCTGTATCCGAGCTAAGATTTTGTTGGCAATCAGCCCGTTCTGGCTGAAGCAACTCCCCGAGTAAGTGAAGTAGTTGACACATGCAACTACTTCCCTCCCTTAAACTGCTAGTGAGTGTAGGCCAGTCCTAGAGCATCATCTTTCACTTAGCAGGCACGAAACGTGTGCCAAACATACCCAGATTTCCGCTCAACGCGTTCAGAAGACTCTGCATCTTATCAGCGTCTTCACCTAGCAGGACAATATCGTCTGCATACTCAAACAAATGCCCCTCAGGGAGTAGGTCAATCCCTGTCAATTCACCACACCTAAAGTTATATTTATTAGTGCATCTATAACAAAAATAAACAGGAACTGCGACAGTAGGTATTCCTAACGAACATCACTGGTTATCGTCAGCTCAGATGACAAACCTCCATAAGTCCTTACATATCTGCTTGAGTTTGAGTGGAGAGCTTTGATTAACGTTACATACTTGCTGGATACTCCCTTCATAATCAGGTAAGTATGCATTTGTTGCATAAGTTATGGAAGGGTGAAAATCTGACCGATGAACTCTAGTCCAGGTTTGAAAACTGCTCAGTTTCCTCGAGTTTCTTTTTTCGAGCTCCAGATAGGTGTCAGATAACTATGGACTACTTCTTTCCTTTATTGTAGGCTATAATGATCAGTGATGTAGACCAGCCTAACGCAACTATCTCTGGTTCCCATACGCTATATTGTACCTCCGTTACTATACTCAGTAATTTCGTACCTCCTTCCTTAGATACTTCTGGTTTGCTGCTGCAAAATATGGGAGCTTGAACTCACACTTTCATGCAGGACTGTTTATGGTTTGTCTACCTACCGGTTTTCCATCCACACGAGTGGTCACAAGTGTTTTAGTGATTCTAGTGTCAGATGGTACCAATCATGCAGTATTCATCATTTATACGGCTTCTTAGCGTCTTAACCACATTCTTCTCTGTTTAATCTACTCAGGGTGTGAGTATTGATTGTTGCAAGTCAACACATTAATTTAGGGAATTAAAGTCACCCCTCATATTGAGGGACAGCTTTAGGAAGGTAAATATTCAGGAGTCCAAACAGTCTTAATTCGACCTCAGCTATGAGTTGAAAGATGAAATATAAATTGAAGCAAATATATTGATATCAATGTACTCACGATCTTTTGGAGAAACGCATTTTTCGGAATCCATATCACACCAATTTTTTCTTTGAAGTAAGTGTCCGTAGATATACTCCTTTTACATACAATTATGGCTATACCCTCTGTGGTTCACATAGCACCAGCCAGTTACGCATAGTTCTCATAGATGTAGCTCAGTAACCCAAGTTTTCGACATTCAAGCAATGCGTTTTGGAATCAAACGCTGCCCAACCTAGCATAGGATTAAGCACAAGGGCAGAAACCTCACTACTAGACCAGATGCCAGTTAGTAGTTGTCTCTGCGCTGTCCGGCCGTCCGGTACGGTGAAAAATGAAAGGAATGGTGAGACGCCGTTGTCTCTTTGTAATCTCTGCTCACGCACTCACTGTCTGCAGTTCGAATGAAGTGAAGGACGAGTTCTACCGAGAACTGTCTAGCCTTCTTTCGAAAGCCAAACGTTCAAACGTGGTGGTTGTTGCAGGTGATTTCAATGCACAAGTGGGTAGACTAAGTGAAGCAGAAAGGCACTTAGGTGGCACTTACGGAGTCCCAGCTGAACGAACACATGACGGTGATCGCCTACTACAACTACTCAGATAACCGCAGATTTTTAGCTAGCACAAATTTCAGACATGAAGAAAGACACTGTCTGACGTGGCGTCCACTGAGCTCAACTCAACGGTGGATACAGATAGACTACATTGCTTTCAGTCACCACTGCAGAGGATCGGTGCAAGACTGCCGCTGTTTCTTGAGTACATGTTTGGATAGCGACCACGCGTTGGTCCGAGTGCGTATATGCATGCGTCTCAATGGATGTAGGGAGAATTCGGTAACAAAGCCATTACGAGTGCAGCTCGACAACAAAAACACCGAAGCCGTTTTCAGTGAGAAATTGACTAGGCAGTTATCGGAACAGAGCACTATCACTCATCTAGACGGAGCTTGGCTCCGTCTCCAGTGCAAAGGCAGCTTTCAAGACCATATCTGACTCTCAAAGAGTAGTTAAATAGAGCCAGTGAATGTCAGCAGCTTCTTCTGAATTAATGGATGAACGTGAACGCATCACCGCAGGCTCTGAGTACAATAAGGAGTGAACGAAACTCAAGTGTAGATTGACAAAACTTCTACACAATGACTGTGAACAGTGGTGTGCAGTGAAGATTAAAAAGATGGAAAAGGCAGCGGCGATTGGTAACAATAGACAGTTATTTAGACTTATTACGGAATAGGTCAACAACGGTTAGTGAGACTGTAGCGGAGAAGGACAGGTCTGCGATTCACATGCAAGAGAGACGAATGGAGCGATGGGCATAACACTTCGAGGAACAGTTCTACTGGCCTCCGGGTAGTACTACTACAATCGGATCCTAATTTGAACATTGAGAACACTTACAGAAGTCGAGAAATCTGTAGATAACTTGAAATGAGGTTGGGCAGCAAGGCCAGTTCCTGTGGTATATAAGGACGGTGGTAGAGTACTGTTTGTCAGGTTAAGTAGTATATGAGAATCAAATACGATCCCTTCTGATTGGTCTAAATCACTGATTATTCCAGTCTTCAAGAAAGGCGAGAAGTCCTCCAGTGATCACAACAGAGGAAGCTGCATGACAAACATTACTATTATTATTTATTCTTTGTGTTCCTAGTGGAACATAGGGCTTCATTAGCACGTTGCCATTTCACTCTGTTCTCTGCAGTCGTTTTTACTTGGCTACACGGCTGCCCATAAGCTTTCATTTCCTCCTCACACCATCTCCTCCGTTTCATCCTCGGACGCCCGACTCGTCGTTTCCCATCTGCGTTCCATTCAACAGCTTGTCCTGGTGCGTGATGTCCCCAAACGGTCTTCCCGGTATATGTCCAATCCAATCCATCTCCACTCTATTCCACTGCGTATTTGTTAGGCGATAGGTTTTTGGTTTGTTCGTTGCCAGCTAGACTTCCTTGTTGCTTATTCTCAATATTCTGGTCATCTGATCTTGACTATCGAGTGAGCGTAAGTGGCAGCTGTTGATGTGATGTATGTCTCCAGTTTGTTGGAAATACTTTCTGTAACGCACCAAGTTTCTCAACCATCACATAGAACTGCTGACTTACTTGACATTAGTGTTAAAAGTGTGGATGTTGTTCACGTTTTATGCTGAGTGCAATGCAGTGCAGTGGAGCGGAGTGCAGTAGATCTCCACACTGATTTATGACACACAGTGTCAAAGATTCTAGGTCCTTTAACCCCTTGGCTTCGGAAAGCAAGCCCGAGAAAGCCAGGTAGGCTTCAGACCTCACCGTGGATGTATCGACCGAATATTCTGACTGCGCCGGGTTCTGAAACACAGACACTTACCGGCGCTCAGCAGCAGCTGTATTTCTCTACCTGAAGGTGGCATTGGACTCTGTTGATCGAGACTGATTGACAAAATCAACATACAACCTCGCACAGGAGGGAGTACATCGGCTCAAGTCGCTACACTTTGCAGAAGCGCACAATGAACAGGTGGACAAAAAAGGAGTGATATCAAAGGGGATAAACTAG